GTCTGGAATTTTCTTTTCAGAAGTACAAGTATGAAGCATATTTGCCATGCTCAGAGCTTCTACAATCATTTACTGTATGTTTGCAATGTTGTTGTAGCTGAGTTGGTCCTAGGATATTAGAGAGCAAGATATGATTCATAGATTCTAGGGCTGGAAGGGACCTCGAGAGGTCATCGAGTCCAGTCCCCTGCCCTCATGGCAGGATCAGATACTGTCTAGACCATCCCTGATAGACATTTATCTAACCTACTCTTAAATATCTCCAGAGATGGAGATTCCACAACCTCCCTAGGCAATTTATTCCAGTGTTTAACCACACTGACAGTTAGGGTGGTTAACTTTTTCCTAATGTCCAGCCTAAACCTCCCTTGCTGCAGTTTAAGCCCATTGCTTCTTGTTCTATCCTTAGAGGCTAAGATGAACAAGTTTTCTCCCTCCTCCTTATGACACCCTTTTAGATACCTGAAAATTGCTATCATGTCCCCTCTCAGTCTTCTCTTTTCCAAACTAAACAAACCCAATTCTTTCAGCCTTCCTTTAAGACCTTTAATCATTCTTGTTGCTCTTTCAGACCTTTAATCATTCTTGTTGCTTTTCTCTGTACCCTCTCCAATTTCTCCACATCTTTCTTGAAATGCGGTGCCCAGAACTGGACACAATATTCCAGTTGAGGCCTAACCAGCGCAGAGTAGAGCGGAAGAATGACTTCTCGTGTCTTGCTCACAACACACCTGTTAATGCATCCCAGAATCACGTTTGCTTTTTTTGCAACAGCATCACACTGTTGACTCATATTTAGCTTGTGGTCCACTATTACCCCTAGATCTCTTTCTGCTGTACTCCTTCCTAGACAGTCTCTTCCCATTCTGTATGTGTGAAACTGATTGTTCCTCCCTAAATGGAGCACTTTGCATTTGTCTTTATTAAACTTCATCCTGTTTACCTCAGACCATTTCTCCAATTTGTCCAGATCATTTTGAATTATGACCCTATCCTCCAAAGCAGTTGCAATCCCTCCCAGTTTGGTATCACCTGCAAACTTAATAAGCGTACTTTCTATGCCAGTATCTAAGTCGTTGATGAAGATATTGAACAGAGCCGGTCCCAAAACAGACCCCTACGGAACCCCACTTGTTATACTTTTCCAGCAGGATTGGGAACCATTAATAACTACTCTCTGAGTACGGTTATCCAGCCAGTTATGCACTCACCTTATAGTAGCCCCATCTAAGTTGTATTTGCCTAGTTTATTGATAAGACTATCATGCGAGACTGTATCAAATGCCTTACTAAAGTCTAGGTATACCACATCCACTGCTTCTCCCTTATCCACAAGACTCGTTATCCTATCAAAGAAAGCTATCAGATTGGTTTGCCATGATTTGTTCTTTACAAATCCATGCTGGCTATTCCCTATCACCTTACCACCTTCCAAGTGTTTGCAGATGATTTCCTTAATTACTTGCTCCATTATCTTCCCTGGCACAGAAGTTAAACTAATTGGTCTGTAGTTTCCTGAGTTGTTTTTATTTCCCTTTTTATAGATGGGCACTATATTTGCCCTTTTCCAGTCTTCTGGAATCTCTCCTATCTCCCATGATTTTCCAAAGATAATAGCTAGAGGCTCAGATACCTCCTCTATTAGCTCCTTGAGTATTCTAGGATGCATTTCATCAGGCCCTGGTGTCTTGCAGGCATCTAACTTTTCTAAGTGATTTTTAACTTGTTCTTTTTTTATTTTATCTGCTAAACCTACCCCCTTCCCATTAGCATTCACTATGTTAGGCATTCCTTCAGACTTCTCGGTGAAGACCGAAACAAAGAAGTCATTGAGCATCTCTGCCATTTCTAAGTTTCCTATTACTGTTTCTCCCTCCTCACTGAGCAGTGTGCCTACCCTGTCCTTGGTCTTCCTCTTGCTTCTAATGTATTGATAAAAAGTCCTCTTGTGTCCCTTTATTCCTGTAGCTAGTTTGAGCGCATTTTGTGCCTTTGCCTTTCTAATCTTGCCCCTGCATTCCTGTGTTGTTTGCCTATATTCATCCTTTGTAATTTGTCCTAGTTTCCATTTTTTATATGACTCCTTTTTATTTTTTAGATCATGCAAGATCTCATGGTTAAGCCACGCTGGTCTTTTGCCACATTTTCTATCTTTCCTACCCAGCGGAATAGCTTGCTTTTGGGCCCTTAATAGTGTCCCTTTGAAATACTGCCAACTCTCCTCAGTTGTTTTTCCCCTCAGTCTTGATTCTCATGGGACCTTACCTATCAGCTCTCTGAGCTTACCAAAATCTGCCTTCCTGAAATCCATTGTCTCTATTTTGCTGTACTCCCTTCAACCCTTCCTTAGAATTGTGAACTCTATGATTTCATGATGACTTTCACGCAAGCTGCCCTCCACTTTCAAATTCTCTTCGAGTTCCTCCCTATTTGTTAAAATCAAGTCTAGAACAGCTTCCCCCCTAGTAGCTTTTTCAACCGTCTGAAATAAAAAGTTGTCTGCAATGCAGTCCAAGAACTTATTGGATAGTCTGTGCCCCGCTGTGTTATTTTCCCAACATATATCTGGATAGTTGAAGTCCCCATCACCACCAAATCTTGGGCTTTGGATGATTTTGTTAGTTGTTTAAAAAAAGCCTCATCCACCTCTTCCACCTGGTTAGGTGGCCTGTAGTAGACTCCTAGCATGACATCACCCTTGTTTTTTACCCCTTTTAGCCTAACCCAGAGACTCTCAACACTTCCGTCTCCTATGTCCATCTCCACCTCAGTCCAAGTGTGTACATTATTAATATATAAGGCAACACCTCCTCCCTTTTTTCCATTTATCCTTCCTGAGCAAGCTGTACCCATCCATACCAACATTCCAATCATGTGTATTATCCCACCAAGTTTCGGGTGATGCCAACAATGTCATAGTTATATTTATTTATTAGCACTTCCAGTTCTTCCTGCTTATTACCCATACTTCTCGCATTTGTATATAGGCATCCAAGATACTGATTTAATCTTGTCTCCCAGTTTTGCCCTGACCCTCCTTTCTCTCTGCCATTATAGCCCACGCTCCCTCCTATTTCCAACCCATCTCTCAGGTCTCCATGTTCTCCACTTACCTGTGGGCTTTGCTCACCTGTCCCCGTTGAACCTAGTTTAAAGCCCTCCTCACTAGGTTAGCCAGTCTGTGTCCAAATAGGGTCTTTCCCCTCCTCGAAAGGTGAACACCATCTCTGCCTAGCAGTCCTTCCTGGAATAGCATTCCATGGTCAAGGAAGCCAAAGCCCTCCTGGCGACACCATCTTCGCAGCCAGGCATTCACCTCCACGATGCACCTGTCTCTGCCCCGGCCCCTACCTTTGACAGGAAGGATCGAAGAGAATACCACCTGCGCGCCAAACTCCTTCACCCGTACTCCCAGAGCCCTGTAGTCACTCTTGATCTGCTCACTGTCACACCTCGCAGTATCATTTGTGCCCACATGGATGAGTAGCATGGGGTATTAGTCAGAGGGCTGGATAATCCTCGACAATGCCTCCGTAACCTCTCGGATACGGGCCCCCGGCAGGCAGTATACCTCCCGAGATGAAATGTCAGGGTGACAGATGGGCGCCTCCGTCCCCCTCAGCAGAGAGTCAGCCAGGGCCAACTCCAGGCACCAGCGCAGCAAGCAGGTGCTTGGGGCGGCCAAGGGGAAGGGGCGGCACGTCTGGCTCTTCGGTGGCGGCTCCGTCGGTCCCTCTCGGAGGGAAGGACCTGCTGCCGAAGTGCAGCCGAAGAAGAAAGTGGCGTGGTGGAGCTGCCGCCAAAGTGCCGCCGATCGCGATCGCGGCTTCCCCCCCCCCCCCCCGCCGCTTTGGGTGGCAAAAACCCTGGAGCCGGCCCTGGTGGCAGCAGACCTCCCAGCCTTAGGGGTACAAGGCTTCTCCTCCTCTGCTGTAGGGGGTGATTCCTTCTCTCCTGTATCAAGAAGAGCATAATGGTTTCCTATTACCACGGCGGGAGGGTTTGGAGCAGGGGTGGAGCACTGCCTGCTGCCAAAAGTAACCAGCTGCCAGTATCCACCCTGAGCCATCTCCTCCTCCACCAGTGGTGAGTCAGCAGTCCTGTGTACTGGGACAGCTACCTCAGCTGTCTCCACATGGACACTGTCCAGGAATTGCTCGTGGATTTGGATGCTCCTCAACCTAGCCACCTCCTCCTGTAGCTCTCCCACCTGCTGCCAGAGAGATTCCACCAGCAGGCACCTTTCACATTGGATGGTCCCCCCAGCCTGGATATCAGTAAGTGGGAATTGCAAGTTACAGTCCCTGCAAAACCACACCAGGATCTGGGTAGAAGCATCCATGCTCAGGCGCTCTGTCTGGCTACAGGCGCAGGTGGGGGAGACAGAAGCAGTGCTGGAACAGGTGTTGCGGGTCTTCCTAACCATCGTAGGCCTCCCTCTGTCAAACTCCCTCTCAAACTCCGCTGTCTGCAGCCCCCTGTCCACTTCATCTGCTTCATTGCTAAAGCTTGAGTGACATTTGTTTAAAAAGAGCACTTATTGTCTAATGGAAATACAAGGGTAAATATATTTTCTTGTTACAGGAAGTAAACCCATGAATTATGGGAAATTATTTACACTAATCTTTTGCTATCGTCTGTTGGTTTTTTTTGCTTTACAAAATTACCCGTATACTTTATAACTCTCTAATCTTGATTGCTTTGCTCATACACGTCCCCCCATTGCAGTCATGCAACCATGTCGAGCAATATTTGGCCTCATATGGATGCCCATCATAGTATGTTCTAGAGGCATATCACTTTCATTCAGTCTCTCTTTTCACAAGCACTAAATTCAGAAGGGTCCGTTATCTAGAACAAAGGCTTTTAAATGGTTCATTTTGTTTATAACATCTGATATCTTCTTACTTAAAGTCTAGTGAGCTCAATGGATGCTACAAAGGACTGCAAAGTTTGAAGTGCAAATTGCTCCAACAGTGTTTCAATTCAATATTTTTCAGACGTCCAGCAGTGGAAGGCACTCTGTTCGTATAACAGGTCTCAGTACTATTGATTTTCGAGCTGGTTTTTCTAGAAAGCCAACACTAGACTTCAAAAAAGCATCCAGCAGACCAGTGCAAGGTCAGTTTGTGCTCCATTTCTACTGTATTTAATTGTTTGGGGAGGCAGCATGCTCAGACCATAGGGAAGAAATATATACTTTATGTTGTTCTCTATAATTAGCCTCTGCTGAAACTCAGACCATCATTGACAGGTTCGAAGGGAGCCATGCCCTGTCCTTAATTCCATTCATGATGCCACTACCTGTTGTGCCCCATGATACTATGCTATGCTTGTGTATTAGAGTTTTTATGTCCCGTAAATCCCAATGTTTTTATTTCTGGTATGGCTCAGAGTTACAACTTCCCTTCTTTTACTTTTAGAGACTGTAAAATGTTTCAATTTGGCCCCTTGCGGGGGGTGGGAAGGTTAATGAGGCTTTATAAGCACCTGTTGGAAATTATTAATTGAATCCTAAATAAAGCACATCATGTTATCAATGCTAACACACTGTTTTGTGTTTCTTAACAGCTGGTAGAGAGTGCTTTAAACTGAATTGTGTGCATTTACTGGGGGGCTGGAGACACACATCTACAGAGTTTAACCTTTTCTTATATCTTGTTAACACTTACAACAATATATTTCTGTTTTCATAGGAATACCTACCTATGTGCTATTGAATACAACAGGGATCTCTCTTCCAGCTAGAGTGGACCGTCTAGAACTTCTGAGTATCACAGGGGAGCTTCTTAAGACGATGCCTGTGAAATACTATCCTGATCGAAAACCCTATGGAATATGGAATATTACTGACTTCATCCCACCAAATGAAGCCTTTTTTGTTAAAATAATGGGGTATGACAAGGAAGATTATCTCTTCCAGAGAGTGTCAAGTGTTTCATTTTCTAGTATTGTTCCTGGTAAGATTTATTTTATTTTATTTTACTTCAGTGAGCATTTATTATGCCTGAATTAATGGAATGGATGACTTATATTTTTTTTCTATTTGCCCATATAATGAGGAAAACTTCTCTTACCCCATTGCCTACAAAACTTGCAACTTGATACAATGTACTCTGAGCATCTTGGAGGCATCTACTAAGGAGAATTTTAGTTTGAAATTGAATTTTGTGTAAAATAATCTAACAAGTGTTGAAAATACAGCTTGCCTTATCACACTGAAATTTTAACATGAATTTTCCCAGAGGGAAGACAAGGTCATGGAGAGAAAACATTTGGATAATAAAGGAAGATACTGTGTGTACAGTAGTGTGGGGAAAAAATTGTGTTCTACTTTCACATGTAAGAGCTTGCCAAACTATTCAAGAACTGCCAATTTTTAAAGAAACATTTTTCTACACTTAATATTTAAGTGACTTAATTTCATTTCTATTTTCTAGGTAAAGTTTTCTCATTATAGAAATAGGTGTGAGAGGGAATTAAGAGATAAACCCACACTACTAGCAGTTGTTGCTATAGAGCCAGAATTAGCAAGGAAAGGATATTCAGGGCCTGATCCTGAAAAAGTGCTGCAAACCACCTGATAGATGCTTGGGCCCCTCAGATCCCATTCAGACCAATAGATGCCAAGGACCCTCAGTAGCTGCTCAGCATGCTTAAGGATCAGGCCCTTATTGGGCTTGTTTTCTCTAGAGTTTTTAACCTAGAGTTAATTGTTAGGTAGTTAACACATTTGCAAAGGCTAGTAAAAACTCTAATGTAGTCATACCCGGAAGTGTGCTAGGAATAAATGCGTGTTCTTAACATGAAGACAAGGCAAGTTTGAGTTTTAATTGGTGTTAGCTGACTGAGGGACTGACTGACTAAGGAGGAGCTTATGGTTTCATCTTGACCAGCTAAGGCTATAACTACACTGTAAAAAGGTGTATGTGTGTTTTATGTCGAGTTAGCTATCTACTACACCTTTGATTAGCTACATCAAAGTAAAAACTACAGTGCTTTGTCTTCACTAGGATTTTACACTGAGATTGCTATCTCGATGTAAAAACACACCTTTTTTACTATGAAGATATAGCCTAACAAGTGTTGAAACTACAACTTGCCATGTCTACACTGAAATTTCATCATGAAGTAAACAGGAGTTAAGAACACACTCTTTCCCAGAGTGAAGACAAGGCCATGGAGAGAAAAAAAAAAGCATAATAAAGGAAGATACTGTACATTCAGTAGGGTGAAAAATAATTGTAGTGGTACTTTCACTTCTAAGAACTTTCTGAAGTATTAAAGAGCTGCCATTTTCCAGACAGACATTTTTCCATACTTCCTGGGTTTTTTACTTAATTTCTTTTCTACTTTTTGGGTAAAAATTTGTCTCATTTTATTTTGTCGCTCTTGAGATTCTGTGCTGAATTGCTGCTCCCTGGGTCCTAGGTTTGACTAGGATGTAAAGGTCCAATGTTAGATCTTGTTACCTAGATAAACTATCTTGATCTAAGTAATGTCTTCTAACGCTCTAGTCAACGCAAAGCAAATATTACTTTAGCATATGCTAATCGGACAGAGTTTAACTTGGTTCCCATTGAAATCTGTGGGAGTATTACCACTTCAGTAGAAGCAGAGACTGACCACTTCTGAAGATTCCAATTTAACTCCACCAGCTTAACACATACTAAAGTACAGCTTGCCTTGTCTTGATCAGAGTTTTAGAAGTTTGGTTAGGCTGTGCTAGCTAACATGATCTAATATAACACCTTTAAATCTTAGCTTCACCTTGGCCTTGTCTAGGCTAAGGGCATTTTTACACTAGAAACGCTACTGCGGCACAGTGCTAAAGTACAGACCTTAACTACAGCGACAGAAGGGGTTCTTCCATCACTGTAGTAAATTCACCTCTCCAAGAGGTGGAAGCTAGGTTGATGGAAGAATTCCTCTATTGACTTAGCAGTGTCTACACCAGGGCTAGGTTGGCTTGAGTATGTTGCACAGGACATGACATTTTTCACTGCCCTGAGTAATGTACTTAAGCCAGCCTAACTTTCTAGTATAGACTAGCCCTTAGTGTCTTGATAAATCTGGACTTTAAGGAAAAGATTATTAGCATGTGTATTAATCACAATGAATGGAGTGTAGGTGAGTAGCTGCTAATAACTTGTTTATGAATATTTTGCTTTCTGTAGATGCTCCAAAAGTTATAATGCCCAAGAAAACTCCAGGATACTACCTGCAGCCAGGGTATATATCTTGCCATGTGGAAAGTCTTATACCTTTTACTCAGCGTTTCAGCAGAAATGGAATAAAACTGGGAATGGATCAGTTCTTCAGGTAAGCAGCCATTCCCTAACATAATTTTGGGCATTAAAAAAAATCAAAATTAAACTTCAGAGCAGCTTTTGTAGCTTTATTCTGGGTGATTGTATTGTACTTTGTTCGTAATGGTGAATGCCCATTTAAGGTGGGATTTTCCAAAGTACTCAGCACTGGCCTAACTCTGCTCCCACTGAAGTCAGACCTATGTAAGACCGATATATGACAAATCTTACATTGTAACCATGTTAATGATTTTTTTGGATCAGTTGTGAGAATTTAAGCAAATAACAAAGAATAACAAGCAAATAACTGCATGAGGAAATTAAGATTGTATATTGTTGTGGGTTTGGGGTGTGTGAGGGGATGGGGGGAACACATTTTCTGTTTGTAGGCAGAGAGATCACATGGTTCCAGCAGAAATCTATGTGCTTTGCTTTATTATGCTCCAAGGGCTATATCATTCTCTTCTTTGGGAAAGCTTCCACTGAATACATCACAAGGGTCTCTGAACTCCATCTACACCACCACCATGCAGACACCAAGGGAATAATAGTCTCTTTCTCTATAGAACAATCCAGGAACAATGAAATAGTAATCAAACAAACATAAAAACAATACCGCCAAGTCTAAGAAAATATTTCCTGGAAAACAGTTAACCACCATCCCCTCTTTTAAAATACCAAACCTTTCAGAAGAAGAATGAAGACCACATTCTATAGCAACTATACCTGATAACAGAGCAAATAAATTCTGAAATCCTCCTGTAAATTCTTGGCAGAGTAAAATTCTGCAGCCCCATTTTTTATGAGGTGCTATTTACATTTAGACATTCTAGGCACATACTTCTCCTGCTCTGTAATTCTCTTCATACTTTAATGATCAAATATCATATTTTACTTCTTATTTTTTTCATAATAGGTACCAAGCTGCATTTTTAGTGATCATGTTACTTATCTGTAGAATGGAGCTGAATATTACATTGACTTAACAAAATATTCTTCAAGACAAATGCTACTGAGCAAGATGCACAGCACTGGTGCCAATTGGGGGTGCTGGGTGAGGACAGATGCCCTTCCCAAGGTTTATGCACTTGCTCAAAGTTCCCTAGACCTCAGAACTGGGAGAGCCATTTCCTGACAACTTTAAGCAGTGGTCCTATACTAAATCAGGACAGCTGCTACTAGAGCAGTCTAGAGGCATGCTTGCAATGCCACTGAAATTATCTCTAGCCACCCCTCTGTACAGATAGAGGGGCAGTCAGGACAAATTTCCTTTGGGTGGTGTTGCAATCTGGTACACAGGGTCACAATACCACTAAAATTTGGTGGAGGTGCATCCACGCCAAATGGTGCTGCGACCCGGTGCACTGGGAATCTGTTCCTGTATGGTGGAGTGCAGGGGAGTCTACCAAGAACTGAGATCCTGGCAACACTGCTCATGCACTGTGTGGGTAAAAGAGAGGGGATACTCCTTCCCTGAGGGAGACCTGGGGTCCCTGCGGGGGTGGGGGGGAGGAGGAGGATGAGTAGGGGCTCCCCCCCGAAATATCTGAATTGATGCCACTAATGCACAATTTAATTAGTTATTTTGGGTGCTATTTGGTGTGATTTACTAGTACACCTCTACCCCGATATAACGCGACCCGATATAACACGAATTCGGATATAACGCGGTAAACAATGCTCCGGGGGGGCGGGGCTGCACACTCCGGCGGATCAAAACAAGTTCGATATAATGCGATTTCACCTATAACGCGGTAAGATTTTTTGGCTCCCGAGGACAGTGTTATATCAAGGTAGAGATGTACTGAAGTTCCATACTGAACTGGTCCATCTTCAGTTATTTATGAATGGTTTAACTGTATAATTGGGCTGTATTATTGCACTTCATCTGATGAGTTTTATTTTATACTTTGCTGATGACCAAACTACATAAGTTTATTAAATGGTTGTTTATATGCTTGGTTCATATATTTGTATATTTTATTGATCATGAGAGTTGTGTATTCTGGCTGTGGTATCACATTAGGATTAATATGAGTTAAAAGCATTTACAGTGGACATGCTTAAAAATAGTTAATTCTGGTTTTAGATATGTTAGTGGCTCTAGTGTTATGCCCCAATTTAAGTGTCGGGAATATTGCTGGAATCAGAAATATCTCTAAAACTGCAACAAATTTTTCAGTGTGCCCACTGTATAGTGTTGTGGTCCAGTCAAAAGATCTTGCTATGACCCTATTGGCAAGTCACTTACTCCTTGGTGTATCAGTTTCCCATTTGTAAAAGTAGCACTAATAAGGCTTACTCATCTTTGTGAAACACATTGAGATATATGGTTTTCTACATAGGAAGTATGAAGTATCATTACCGTAACTATTATTTTAGCTGAAGGAGAATAGAGTGGTGAGGGACTCAGAGTAACTGTGCGTTCAAAAGTCTGATGTTTTGTCCAAGTGACTCCTGGTTTGAAAAGACGCAGGGGAAGACTTTCAAAGGCACAAATGGCAATTAGGCACCTCATTTCAATTGAAAGTCAATGGGAGTTTGGCGCCTAACTGCCATTTGTGCCTTTTGAAAATCTCCCCTGTGTTGTGTAGGACAGAAATGTTAAATGGGATCACCAAAGAATATGAAAACTGAAAATGAAATATGCAGTTTTGGCAGCAAAGAATGCAGCCCTGAGCCCGTTTAGTAAAAGCTATGCACTGTAAAGCCACTGATGTTCGTGGTTCAGTTAGCTAAGTCTGTATCCTAGTCAGCCAAACACACAGAATACATTCCTGAATGGATGCAAGAGCCTATTAGCCCACATTCTTTCACAAGGACCCACTACTGCCCGAGTACAGTGGGGTTGCTGGCTAGCTCAACTAGGATAATTGTACCACCCAAAGTGGTGTAGCCAGATAGATTGTGGTGTGGCCAAGGACTGCCTTGATGTCTGCTAGCATCTGGAGACAGGTACAGTATGTACAGCAGGTACAAGGAACACTGTGCAGTGTGCTTCCCTTGTGCCCCTGAAGCATTCTGTCCATATTCGCTCTGTACAGGCAGATTGGGGTGCCACATCTACCTACCCTGAGGTGTTCATCTCCACCCCACCTGAGAGCAAGGATGGTACTCAGCCGTCAGCATTTGCAGCTTGACCAATGGAGTGTGCTAGCATTTCCTTGACTGACAAAATAAGCATCTTGATCCACAGGTTGCATGTATTTTTTTTTAAATTGAATAAGTAAAATGTGCAGTAAAATAAATTAAAACAATCTGAGCAAAGACAGGGCCTGATGTTGAAAGGTGCTGAGCACCAAGAACTGACATGGAAGTTGCAGGGAGCTGGCCAAATTATATTGCAAGCACATATTATGCTTTTTTTTCCAGTTTAAGTTTTTTAAATAAACAGGCATTGTGATAGGGTAACTTAAGGTGTATAAGATAAAGTTGGAAACAGAAAAGGAACAAGGTTGTTAAAAATGCAGTTATGTATATATTCCTTGAAGAGCAATTCTACTTTATATTTGGGAGAAGCATGCAGATCTCTTAAGTCAGGGGTCGGCAACCTTTCAGAAGTGGTGTGCTGAGTCTTCATTTATTCACTCTAATTTAAGGTTTTGCGTGCCAGTAATACATTTTAACGTTTTTAGAAGGTCCCTTTTATAAGTCTATAATATATAACTAAACTATTGTTGTATGTAAAGTAAATAAGGTTTTTAAAATGTTTAAGAAGCTTCATTTAAAATTAAATTAAAATGCAGAGCCCCCCGGACCGGTGGCCAGGACCCGGGCAGTGTGAGTGCCACTGAAAATCAGCTCATGTGCCGCCTTTGGCACGCGTGCCATAGGTTGCCTACCCCTGTCTTAAGTAAATGTTCTTACCATCTCCTTGCTGCTAGCAGTAACTAGCATTTCCATTGCTGGCAGTGCACTGGTGAATGCCTTGGAACAACAGCTCTGATATGTGAGTTTGTAATGAGCATGGGGTCCGAGGGAATAAGCAGAAAGTCCAAGATCACTCTGCAGTTGTTATCTGTGGCCTAACCTTTTGTGCAAACAGATTCTACTGCCTCACAATGCTGAAGCACTGAACTTTTTACTATAATACCAAATTAAATGTGGCCTTATTTCGTATCTAATCTTTTCTTCCTACTGTATCCCAAACCATTTTATGGAGTTAATCCAAGACTTTGGGCAGATAAAAAAGAGGGCAGGCAGTGGGAACACTAATACACAGCTTTCCCATATTGTGGAAGGTGTTTTGCCAAAAGCATCATGCTCAGTCTTGTCTTCATTAGATATATTTACTTACTGTAGCAACAGATCACAGTCAGCAATGGGATACAGAATTAGAAGGCCATTGTAATACTTGCACCATATCATGCCGTAAAAAATGTAGCTGCTGAATCTTAAGAAGACATCACAATTTCTTTAAGAAGCACACACAGTAACACTATGTAGTTAATTTTTTACTTCCTTTTTTCCCCTGTAGCATTATAAATGACAAAGGTACTATAAACCAGCAGCTTTACTTGTGATATGTCCTATGGGCAAAAGCCAGGTGTTTCAAGAGTGCTCATTTGATTATTTTACCCACATCTGATTGCAACTTCTACCAAACCCAACTCTCACAGACTTTACTTACTATTTTCTGTATCTTTTTGTATTTACACTTACTGCTCCATTTGCTTCCATGTGTGTGGCTGGTAAGCTGACATGGAGAATGTTGAATTACTATATTTGTTCCTGGTCCTACTTTGGGGTCAAAGAGCCTTCTGCACACAGACTCACCATGCTATTCTCCTCATTCAAGGGATAGGGACAGATAGGGAAGTGCAGAGATTGCGCCGTGTGTGTCTTATGGGCATAAGGTACTCCAAACCAAAGCATGGGGTGCAGAAAGTATGAGTGAGACTCCATCCCTCACTGCACTGGCCCTTGGAGCTGACCCACACATTTAGAAGGAACAAGTCTGCATCATTGTAAGGGATGGTGCATTCTGTGCATACTTTGCTGATAAATAATCAGTATAACAGTATTTCATACTTTCTTCCATTTTAAAAAAATCCAAGGCTGATCCAAGAGTAGAAATAGCTGAGTGAGCGACAGCAGTTTTGTATTTTACCATGTGACTACTTGTCATGTTTTTTTTTCAAATGTCTCTATGGATGTATTGTGTAAGGAATCCATGCTTTTTAATACTCATAAAAGTCTAATCACTTCCCCCCACCTTCTTATTTAAATCAGACCCTAAAAACTGCATGCAATATAATGCATAAACAAAAGGGATTTTAAAAGGGTCTGCTTTTTCCTCCGTATGTGAAATTTTCATTAGCCTTACTGAAAGTTACATGCCAATCAATAGGAAACTAGACCCTTTCATGCCCTCCTCTTCATCCCTTTCAAGCAGTTACAGAGGCTTTATAATTTTACAGAGAATCGTCTAGCGTGAACTGGGAAATTGCCAAGGTCTCCTTGTCTGATGAAGGATATTATGAATGCATTGCCATTAGCAGTGTGGGCACTGGACGTGCTCAGACATTTCTGGATGTGTCAGGTAAATGTTGTTTACTATGTCTGTATTAGATTACTAAATTGTAAAGTGTTGGCATACGGTCATTTTTACTTAACAGAAAATAGCAACATTGGGTGGCATAAATTATGGCAATCCAATACCAATAAAATGTTTTATGTTAATGTATGTTCTTTTGTTGCAATATAGCACGTTTCAAAACCTTAATGGAAGCATTTAGGCCCCAGTTTAAAGCATTTAAGCACATAAATAAATCCATCCGTATTAAGTAAAGTGCCGTCGAATTCTTTCTAACACTCTTCCATGAAGTCAGTGGGATTTCAGCACATGTTTAAGTGCTTCCCTGAATAGATGTGAGCGGCTGAATTTCTTTTGGAGGCACTTGGAGGCAATTGCAGCCTGAGAGAATCCACCCATATTTTTTTTGTCTCAAACCTTAGCAATTACACTTTTAACTCCCCGATTGTAGGCACAAATCAGATAGCTGTGAAATTACAAAGATTTGCATCTAAAATTAATTCTACTTTAGTTTTAAAGCAAGTTCCTAATGATTTATTGGAAATTTGGATTTTTTTTGTTTATTATTATTATTATTTTAATTCCTGAAAGGATTATCAAGAAATAATTAGATGAAATTAAGTAAAGGAAAAATTAGGTTGAATCTAGAGACACGCCTTCATAGTGAAATTCATTATATTGTGGAACATTGTCCCAAAGAAGTGGTTGAAGGCTCATTACTTGGGTCATTTAAAACTGGACCAGACAAAAGCACTAGAAAATATATTGTAGGAAACAATTCCTGTTATGTATCATTCATATGGGTATTCTTGCAGAATAAAGATGCTATGTAAATGTGAATTATTATATTTGTTTTGAACTGTGCAGTTGGGATGATGTAAGGAAGACACTTTGAAATCCTTACACAAAAATATTTGAAACAAAATTATTTGAATTTTCTTACTCCCAGCAAAGTAAACTTACTCTTTTCAAGTATTTTCAGTTTATCAAGTTGACAGACAGTATATCACAGATTGTTCATTTTTGTCAACTGCTGTAGGAAAGGTACTGGAATGATCTCAACATTCTTCAACTTCAGAAAAAGCAAACATTTGCATTTGTTTTTTCCTGCTAGTATTAAATCTTAAATTGTCAAATAGCTTGTTAGTTTGTGCAGACATCTTAAATAAAGGGCCAACAAAGGCATGTGTACTGAATGTGAGGAATTTGGTTCTGTGTATATGAGATCAACAGGAGGTAGTGTGTTCTAGCGGATACAACACAGGACTGGCACTCTAAAGACCTGGGTTCCGTTCCTGTCTTTGCCTCTGGGTTGCTGAGCAAGTCCCTTCCCCTCTTTGTGTCTGTTTTCCCATCTGTAAAATGGGATAAAGATATTGACCTACTTGGTAAAGTGCTTGGATATCTACAGATGAAAAGCATTAGATAAAAGCTATATATCCATGTCAAAAGGTGGAGTAACTTACCAAAGATATGACTGTGTGTGCAAGGTGCAGGAGCAAAACTCAGTCCTTAGTAAGCAACTCTGGCTTTCTTTCCCTCTCCCCTGGCTTGGGTGAGCTGTGATGGGGTGGTGGCTATAACGATGACTGCTGCTGGGGAGCCCACGGGGACCATACTTGTGGGAAAGCAAGGCTCCAGACCCAGGTGCCCAGGGCTTTTGAAGAAATTCACCACTGTGCAGAGATCCAGCCCAAGGCCTGTGAACCTACTGTGAGATCTTAAATGAGCTGAATGGGTGTCCCTCAGCACTAGGGTGACCAGGTGTCTAGTTTTCGACCGGAACACCCAGTTGAAAAGGAACCATGGTGGTGCTGGTCAGCACTGCCGACCAGGCCGTTAAAAGTCCGGTCTGTGGTGCTGCCTGGCTAAGACAGGCTAGTCCTTTTCTGGGGGGCGGAGGTGCCTGCGGGTGAGAGCAGCACACAATCCCGTCTGCACGCCTCTGCCTAGGAGTCGGACCTGCTGCTGTCCGCTTCTGGGGCGCAGTGCGGTCTGCGATGCCAGGACAGGCAGGAAGCCTGTCTTAGCACCCCTGCTGCTCCGCTGACTGGGAGCCGCCGGAGATAAGCCTGTGCCCCAAACCCCTGCCCCAGCCCTGAGGCCCGCCCGCCCCGCAAACCCAGATCCCCCTCCTGCACCCAATCCCCTCATCCCCGCCCCCATCCTAGAGCCCCCTCCCGCACCCCAACCCACTGCCTCAACCCTAGCCCAGAGCCCCCTGCCACACCCTGCCCCACTCATCCCCGGCCCCACCCCAGAGCCAGCACTCCCAGCCCAGAGCCCTCACCCTCACCCTCTCCCACCCCCCAAACCCCTGTCTCAACCTGCAACTGCCTCCTGCACTCCGAATCCCTCAGCCCCACCCCAGAGCCCGGACCCCAAGCCAGAGCCCGCACCCCCTCCCACATCCCAACCCCCTTCCCCAGCCCAGTGAAAGTGAGTGAAGGTGGGGGAGAGCGAGCCACCGAGGAAGGGGGAATGCAGTGAGCAGGGGGCTCGGGGGAGAGGTGGGAGAAGGGAGCCGGCCTCGGGGGAGAGACGGGGCTAGGGTGTTGGGTTTTGTGCGATTAGAAAGTTGGCAACCCTACTCAGCACAGGGATGAATTTTTCTCCATTAACAGAGAACTCCTGTTTGGTTATCTTTGCTTTGCTTATGGTAATCTGTTGACTTCAGTCCTATCTTGGTAAATTACTCCACCTTTTGACATTTGTGTCACACTCAGACTATTATCCTCTGCAGATCTGTGTTTCTGTGTTTAAGAACAAACGCCACTGGGTTTAAACAAAAGAAGTGTGGGGCAAAACCCCAGTAAAGCTATATGAGTTTAAATTTCCTTTCCTGTTTGCATTTGTTGTCTCTTTTACTCAGGGATGACTCAACAAGGATCATTTGACCTAATCTGAAACCATTGTGTGTCTAAAATTCAATCCAGTTCAAAGTTACTGAGTTTGCATTCTGCTGAAGGGGAAGTCAGTGGTAAAAAGGAGCAGAGAGGGAAGTCAGAAAGAAAACAACAAAATATGGGGGGAATTGCAGCATAGACTGGGCACTGATGTGAACAAAAAGATTAAAATCCATTAAAACCCAAGTTGAGACTAACATTTGAAGAACACAATGATAATATCAGAGCTGTTTGGTGGCACTGGAAAAAGCCCACATGTACAGTATTGTTGTCTTCAGGGTAGCTCTTCGGTAATCTCTTTTTCACACAGCAGCATGTACAAATCTAGGACCTGATCCAGATCTCATTGAAAGGCTCCCTTTGGTTCAGTGGGCCTTGGATCAGACCCCAGTGTGCTGGCTTCAGTGCTGTGAAATGAAACTAAGTATGAAATAACCCAATGGTATGCCTTTTTACTTCTACTACTGCTGTCTTATCATGGTTACTTACAAAGTACCTACAAGTGAGCCTAACAGTTTCTGAATCCTCTCTCTTTATTCTTTCCATGTAGAGCCCCCACCTGTGGTTCAGGTTCCTAATAATGTCACCGTCACCCCTGGGGAGAGAGCCATATTGACCTGCCTAACCTTAAGCACAGTGCGTTACAATCTCACCTGGCAGAGAAATGGCAATGACTTGAGGCTTGTGGAGCCCTCCCGAATAAGGATGATGAGCAATTTGTCTTTAGAAATAAAATCTGTAAAGCTCACAGATGCTGGCGAGTACAGTTGCACTGCTTCCAATGAAGGTGGATCTACTGTGGCTTCTGTCTTCCTCACAGTACAAGGTAACAAAGAAGATGCATGTTAATCTTCTTTTGAAGCATATTTCTTTTCTTTTTCCTCCTCCCCACTTTTTTTTTCTTCTCCTTGATAACAACTTTGCCCTTTGAGCAATTTGGTAAAAGCCTGTGGAAACTGAGAGCAGAGCTTAAAACCCCCCCAAAAACAAAACAAAATGTCACTCACTACTGGCTAATCTGTGGAATAACACTCAGAGGGAATCTATTGGGAAGTAACCTTGTGCTTGCACATCTCTCTGGCCTGAATATTGGGCAGCAGAAGAATGAATCTGGCTATAAATGAAGGGATGAAAAAATGAATCTCATCATTAATAACATTGTAAAGAAGGAAATTTGTGGCCACGTCAACATAGTGGGCTGAATCCATGCTTGGTGAAGTCTTGTGGAGTTACACCAAGGATGAATTTAGCTCCTTAATTCATAGTAAAGCACACTGTTATAGAGCTACATCTAAGATGAAGAAATTTACTACATTTTGGATCATGAAAGAATTAATTTCACTTTTTTCTTATGTTCTTTGCTGTAGGAAGGTGTCATTAACTCTAAAAATGAGTGGACAGAAGCTGTTCATGTTAGTTTATTATTTTAAACCTTTGTTTTGAAAGTTATAAGTTAAAATAGTAAGAATAGTAATGAAGAAATGCCAATTCTGATTTTTGCAAAAAGGGGCTATACGATCCTGTAAGCTAAATCTTAAACTGGAAGTAGTCCCTCTTTTTTTGATGGGGTACATCCCATATTAATGGGAGCTTCTTGTATTAATGTACTAAGTGCCCAACCCTTACTCACGTTGAGTAATAGCTTACTCCACAAGCAGTCCTATTGAAAATCTTGGGGCTACTTGTGGAGTGATGTACAAAACAATGTGAATCAAGGTGTCAGAATTGAGCCTTAAAGGGCTAAATTCTAGTCCTACTGAAGTCAATCCTGCCGTTTTCACTCACTGAATGGTAATTTTGCCTTAGTAAGGTGTCTAAGGACTTACCTAGGATTTGCTGCTGTTGTTGATTTGGCCCAAAGACTGTTTTAAGGTAACTGCAGGGGTCAGGATTCCCCCACCCCTCCAACTGTCTGTTTTCTTGTTTTGTTTTGTTTCCTTCCTCTGAAGCATCAGAGATGGCCCATCTGGAGATGGGACACTGGACAGGGCCGAGCTGGTGCTCTAAGATGGTCATGAGAATTTTCTCTCTCATATTCTTGGCTGGCTGTTCTTGCTTACACGCTCAGGGTCTAACCGATTGCCATATGTGGGATTAGAAAGGAATTTCCCCCCAGGTCAAATTGGCAGGGACTTGGGGATTTTTCACCTTCCTCTACAACATGGGGCACACGTTGAGTGCTAGGATCATCTGTGTGTGTATCATTAATCAATTCACAGCACTGCAGGGGCCTTGTCCTTTGGTGCATCCCAGTCCCTCCGATTATATGCCTGTGGCACACAATATTTTAATCTCCTGTGGGTTTTGACATTTTATCTAATTTCGGTTGTTGTGTTTGGTTTGCGGGTACCTACGTGCTGTTGATGGTCTGTAATATACAGGCGGTCTGAGTAGATGATCCCTTCTGGCCTTAAGCTCTATCATTCTATGAGCGATCTACTATGAAAATAACTACATGGTCTGGGGGTCTACACAGCACTAACAGAACTTCCCAAAGTTCTGTCTCATACCAGATTGGGGTCTGGTGTTGAAACTGGCATAGATTGTTTTCTCTTCGGTTGCTTCAGAGCACTGACCAGGAGCCTGGAGAGTGTCTTCTGAGCATGTGAACAGTGTGATGGTAAGGACTGTCCAGGAGCATGAAATGTTAATCAGTATATCTTTCTAGGATTATTTTTTCCACAAGGAGGAGAGAGAAATTCCATAATTATGTGATCTTTGCCTTTTTCCCCAGCTTTTCACAGTCTTGTAAACAAAATATTAACTTGATACATGCATGTATATTAGAGTAGATCCATATTTGAACACGTTGTCCTGATAGTTGTATAATATTACCAATGTTTCTCCTATCTGGGATTATCAAATCTTTCTGGCTTGGAAGCATAAATGAGTTATTTTTGTAACCAATGTCCTTTTTGCTGAAAACATTCATTTTTGGTGATCTTTGACTATTGAATTTCATGTGTACCATTAAAATTCAAATCCTCAAAACATTACATATTGCCAAAATGCAATTTTATTGGCAAAATCTTGGTTTTGTAGATTTCCAGCTCTGAGTCCAGCTCTGAATATTCCAGCAATGAAATACTATCATAGAATTTGGACTTTGTTCTTTGGTTCTGCAACACAGCTGTATTGTGTGGGAAAACCTTTGTGGTTTGTGTTGTGTGTTGGTCAAGGATTAATAGAGAAGTTTAGCTTATAGCAGTTTCAGCATTTCATGCATGGTTGTAGCAACAGATTAATAAGAAATGAGGTATGTTGTGCTTTCATCTCACAAAAATAGGGACCTGTTGAAGGTAAAGAAGCATTGGCTGCTGGTGGTTTGGCCTATTGATAAACAGCATATAGGTCAGCTTTTTGTGTCGATGAGCTTATTTACATGAGTTGTCACATTCCAATAAGAACGAAAGCTACAAACTTTTTGTATTATATTCCAAGCATCACATGATAAATAATTAATTTGGTGTATTCATAGTGTAGTGCCCCCTTTCCACCCGGTTACATTCTTTAATGCCAATCTGCTTAAAGGTTTTGATGGACAGGTCTGGGTTCTTCTGGATCCCGCCACCCACTCAGCGGGGTGTATCTTCTGTATTTTTTCCTATGAATTTATTTGGCGGTGCCTCCACCCCCCTCGCTCCTTCCTGGCAGGGTCACCAGGGCAGCTTGGGAGGAAAATTCTAACCCCAGGGTAATCCCCACTTACATGCCAGATAGTTGGAGACTTCCAAGAAATAACACAATAATTATATTAAACAGGAGACAAATATAACATAACAGGGTAAAACACTATGCTTAGGGTCACCGGTGCCCATGCTGATAGTACCCGGGACTTTCCCCAGTCACGTGACCTGATGTAGCAAATGTAAGATTAGTGTCCTGTTGGTACGTGTACTTTGTTGGGGCCCTTGGTGACCTATGACCACAATATCTTCTCTGCAGTGATTTAGCAGTATGGCTGACTGGGTTCAGTACAGCCCAAAGGACTCACAAATGGGAGAAGGTGATAAGTCCTTCCACAGGTTTAATAGGCAGCAGGTTATAAAATCCCCAAACTCTTACTCCCTGGCTTGAGGACACAGTTCAGGGAGTAGGGGGTCCCCAAAACAATTTCCCTGACTGACTAAAAGATGGTGCGCTCACAAACACCATGAATGATCCTCAGGTTCAGAGATGACTCTGGACTCCTCAGTCACTGCAGAGGGGCTGATCTCTGCTGGCAGGGATCCTCTTCAGGCAGGAGTCAGGCTGCTTCGGTCCCAGGATTTCCCCTCACCACAAAGGGGTGCAGGGCTCAAGGTGCAGATTACACTACTATACTAAAATCCAAAATTAGTCTCCTAGCCTAACGTCCAGACACACACACAGCAGGCAGCAGCCCTGGACTAGCAGCCAGAGCAGAGCTGACCATGTGGTGACTGGTCTCACCTAGGGAGCTGGAGGGCTAACTCAGCCTGGCTGGAGAAGTTTCCCAGCAAAACTCTACAAACTGGGAGTCATCAGTGGAGAGGGAAAAGCCCAGCTGAGGGATCTTGCTTTCAGGTCCCTAGAGGCCAGTTCTCAGGGGGAGAATGGCTTCTCCCCTTTCCTGAGCTCCCTGGGAAGGGCATCTCACACCCTATTGGTTACTGGGCAGACTTGAGTCTGCCTTGGCTCCACCTCCCTACCAGGGACAGTGTGCCTCTCCTGAGCTGCCAGCAGACAGAGCCCCAGGAATCTAGGTAATCTCCTTGGGGGTTACAATAGTCTGGCAACTTTATTGTCTATTTATTTTGCTAAGCATTTTTGTAAAGGTTCAAATGGGATTTTTCTTGTCACAACTGAAAGGTTTGCATCAGCCTGTTACAAGTGGTACTGTGATAGAAAGATCTCAGTGGTACCCAATACAGGAATTCAGTGAACATACTGTGGACACTGTACTACAAAAACTGCATGTTTGACATTAGGTGTCAAATATGACAACTTCCCCCACCTACCTCCTGCCAAGATAGCATTTGAAACAATTTCAGTCCTGATGGTGTAGTCAGAGTCAACTGTGTTGAATACCTGTTGTAAGAAAGCATTCTCAACCTCTTGTCCTAACAAGTCAACCACATTTCTATGCCAGGGAACAGATTTGGATAAATCACTGTGATTTACCCCAATGCAACTCGGAATCAAGATTAGAATCTGGCCCTGGGCGTGCTGTACATCAGTGGTGCCCAACCTTATCACACAAGAGGGCCACATAAACATAACCACAACTTTGTGTGGGCAAACAGATTCTACATATTTTAATAGGATTTAAAGTCACCTGTATTGATTTATATTGTCAGTTCAGCTTGTTTCATATGTATTTAGATAGGTTGTTTCTAGGTATAGTGTTGTCTATTTATACACTTTTGTAAACTAAAATGATGTAAACATGATGACAAAATACTAATGAATCAGCCCTGAGTATGGTCTGTTGAAGCAGGCCACAGGCCTTATGAAATGCTCTAGTGGGCCATAGGTTGGGCTCCCCTGATGTACATGGTTTGGTCTTGTCCACAACAAGGACAAAACCATGTTTAGCTCTGGCTGAGAATACTAGAGGGCAGCAAGCAGTGTTGAACACAGCATGATATCTAATCACAGTCTTTGGGCCTGAATCTCTGCTCACCTATAGTAGTGTAATGAAGTAATTCCAGGAAAGTGAATGTACAGTGGTGTAAGAGGAAAATCCAACCTTTTTTCTCCTGGAGAATCTTTTGCCCAAAATATCTTTGGTGTACTCTCTGCTGGACAACCCATCATTAATTAGGGTTACCATACGTCCGGATTTTCCCGGACATGTCCGGCTTT